AGATCATTGTTCTTCAAAGTATTTCATTGCTCTTCAGAAGTCAAACAAAAAGAAAAAGATATTGCCAAAAATTGCCATCTCTCTGCTAACATTTATGTTACTTTTTTCCTAATTATTTCTCTATAGAGCTTTCCCAAGAACCACAGGGCATTGAAAGGAAACCCACAGCTCAAATGATGGAGAATTTACTTCATGTTTACTCTTAGGCAACCAAATGAGATTTTGGCATTTCGTCCAGACTTGTCTGTGATTAGCTTTTGTGTCGTCTTCATACTGTTTCGTTGCCATTACCATTCATACTAGTGACTTAACATCAGTCACGTCACTGACTCCTTTGTGCTGCTCTGCTGTCTAAGATGCTACCTCATTAAAAAGTCACCACTTCATCTCTTGTTTTTGGCTGTAAGTCCTTCCCACTGCTTCTCTCAATTGAAATTCCTTTCTTCTTTTTTATACTGCCTGCCTTCTACTAAATTGCATTATTTCTGCATTAACTCCTGTCTGGTTCCACATAAATGCCAGGAACTGTGAAGGGTCTGAGATTTTCCTCTACTTACAGGCTAACAGGTTATCCTGACGCAGTTTATTGGATATTCATAGTGCTTTGCCTTTATTGCTATTGCTCATGCTAGTCATTTAACTCGGGTCCTTTCATCCGAGGTCAATCCCTAGGATAAAGCCTCAGATTCTGAGCTCCAGACAGGAAAGATGTACACGCTTCCTGGCACTCGATATGCTTCTCTTCAACTTCCTTTACTTTGGTTACTTGGGGGAGGAACGTTAACATGACAGTGCATTTTGTCTTCATAAGTCAACCCCCTTCCTGGCATGAATGCAGTCTCTCTTGCTGAGATATTTGCCTTGTATGCCGCTACTGTTAGGGTGATTAATACAAGAGGTGTAGAACCAATAAATGCTCTTTTTCTTCCTCTTTGAAACCATAGCCTCAACACTTCCGTTTTCGTCATTGTATTTGTAGGCACCCGTATTGGTGACGAAGCCCAGAATACATAGGATACCATCTTATTTTCTTCCTAGATAACCCACAACTTGGAGTTCTGAATGTCAGGACACTAATTCTATTTCTTAAACATTGTCAAAAACCGCCACAGTAATAAACCCGATTCTAGGCTTTCTTGTCCACAGGGTATAACAAACAGAGCTGTGGCCTAGGAATCTGACATCTGAATTCTCCCTATGTTACTTTATCTGCTGTCTCTTTCTTCTCGCTATTGTATTACTTATTGCAGTACTCCAAACTACATCCAGCTTTGGTGTTGGGACTAAGTGTTATAGGCACTATATTATGCCCTGTTTACAGATAAGAAAAGGGAGGCATAAGGGGTTAGTTAACTTGTCTAAGGTCATAAGGTTAGTAAGTGAGAGAGCTGTAAATGTAAGCCTGTAGCTGTCTGCCTCTACATCTGTGCTCATAACTGCTACACTTCACTGCCTCTTCAAATTACTGGCACACTATAGGTAGTAGATGTTGTTACAGATTCACACTGGGGTAATAGAATTAGAGTTTATGGAGGAGTAAGTTTCAGCTGATTCTTGAAATAGGGGAGAGGTTTGAGTATGTGGAGAGGAGAGAGCATTTCAACGGGGACAGAATGAACAAAGGTCCAAAGATGAAACTAAGAAGAATATGTTCAGAGGATATTGAAGAGATTGACTTGGTTCCATGTAAGTATTAAATACCCAGTGAACTCGGTTAGTACTGAAGTTTATCCATTACAACTTTAATGAAAAACAAACAAACAACCAGTTTTTTCCTCAAAGGTTTTAGATTTATTACGTTCCTATAAAAATATACTACTCACCTTACCCCACTGAATGGGAACACTGATTGGGGTTTCAGATGGAAGTACATTAGTAAGGAAATAGTAGAATAAAACTCTCAGTCTTAGAGTTTTTACTTAACCTGTTCATTTTTCTTGAGCTAGATCTGCCCACGCCAGCACAATTTGGTTAGTTTTACTTGTGATGAAACTGGTCCAGCAGGAGGAATTAGATGTATATTGAAATCGTGCCACATTTGGAAGAAAAATGTTATTTTAAGCGTTCTGGTCATTTTTGGTGGAGTGAAGGTCTTACCATGAAGTTGTCGTTGGCAGGTTTTCAGACCACTAGACATGGCTTCCTTATTTACAAAAATCACACACACGCGCACACACACACACACACACAACCAGAAACTAGAAATAATGTGAAAGCAAGTAACTCTGGCAAAGAATTTGTCATTCTAGTGTAGCCTAGTAAAAATAAGAAAGTTGACTGAGATGGGAAGCTGATACCTTTCCTAAGTTTGGGGCTAAAGAAATCTTGAATTCCTCTCTGGGATTTGTAACTAATTTACTACCCTTGAATTATGCATAAGGTAAATCACTTACCAATATATGTATATTAATTCATTTGACCTATTTACAAATTAGAAGAGATGGAAAGAGCAGGGAGGTTAGGTGACCCCAAAAGTTAGGAACTGAAGAAGTGTGGGAGGTATAGAGTTGGTATGATGTGGCCAAGTGGGAGTTTCTCTGTGGAATCCTTTGCTTTGACTTGTGTGGATAAGCTGCTTGTGATGACATTAAGAATTTTAATTTCCAAGACTCCTGGATGGCTTGGTTGGTTAAGCATCTGACACTTGATTTCAGCTCAGGTCACAATCTCAGGTTGTGGGATTAAGCCCTGTATCGGGCTCCGCTAAGTGTAGAGCCTACTTAAGATTCTCTCTGTCCCCCTCTCTCTGCACCTCCCCCACATGCACTTTCTTTCTCTTTCTCTCTTAAAAAAAAAAAGGAGAATTTTAA